CTTGTTTCCATATCTCTCAAAATCTTAATTTCTTTACCTACTCCTCCTGGCATACCTTAGTAAACCTCACCCATGCAAGTGAATCCTTTTAAAGAGATCTGGCACTTTCTTCTCAACCAACTCCTGATTAGGTTGTACATTCTTTTGCAGCTTTTTCGCTTCAACTGTGCTTTCCTTCACTACTTCAACAAAACTCACTGGCTTATCCTATTTTCTCACATCTGTCTTAGAAACATAGAAATTAGGTACAGTGGTAGGCCATTCAGCCCTTCAAGCCTGCGCCACCATTCAATATGATCATGGCTGATCATACAGTTTCAATATCCCACTCCCACTTTCTCTCCACACCCTCCGATCCTTTCAGCCGCAAGGGCCACGTCTAGTTCTGTATTGAATATATCTAAAGAACTGGCCCCAACATCTTTCTGTGGTAGAGAATTTCACAAGATCACAACATTCTTCATCTCAGTCCTGAATGGCTTACCCTTTCATTTTAGACTGTGACCCCAAGTTCTGGACGTTCCCAACATCAGGAACATTCTTCCCACATTTAGCTTGTCCAGCCCCACCAGTATTTTGTGTCCATGAGATTTCTTGCCCCCCCCACCCCATTCTTCTAAATTCCAGTGAGTACAAGCCCATTCGATCCGGTCTTTCTTCATTTGTTAGTTCAACCATCCTGGGAATTAGTCTGATGAACCTTCGCTGGACCCTCTCAATAGCAAGAATGTCCTTCCTCCGACTAGGAGATCAAAACAGCACACAGTAATCAAGGTGTGGCCTCACCAAGACCCTGTATAACTGCAGCAAGTCTTCCCTCTGCTTTTTCTAAATCGCCAACATTGTGACTTCATGTAGCCTACTTTATTACAGTGAAAACACCTGAACATTACTTCTCTTTCTCATTCATGGATTTCCTTTTTACCCTGTGGTAAACTAAAACTATCTTTGCTATTTTCAATGAGATCTCCTTTTCCTTTCTTCCTGAGGATTTCTGTTTTCCCCAAACTGATGTCAGAAGCCAAGCTTTGATTTATGAACCAACTCATCATCATTGACTGTTTCCATTGCTAATCTTGTGGTTTTAACTCTGCTCTTCCATATGAGTTCTCACTACTTCAGGAAGTGAATTCTTGAACTCCCTACAAAATAGTTGTCTCTCTAAGAGTGTCATATTGTTGGATCTGTTTTCAATATTCTTATCCACCTATCAAAATTACTTTATTTGATCCTTTCAAACTCTATTCTTTTGACCAGGTTCCCTCCTTAGATTCATAAAACATTGTCTGTAGACTTATGGTACTACCTCGCATGCATTTAAGATGGCATCTTTCACCTCGTTATACTCCCCAGATACGTCCTATGATAGTGATGGAAATACCTCACTAGCTCTACCTGCCAGTTTTGCTTGAATCCACAATACCCACATGCTCACTGGCCATTTTATTTGTTTAGTCACTTTCTCAAATAAAATGAAAAAGTCTTCTACATTCTTCTTGTCAAACTTTGCCAATGCTTGGACATATTTAATGAAATCCCCACCAGACCTAAGGCTACGTTTGGGATTGCTCTCCATCAGAATCCCCATCACTATTCCTACCTTTCACCTCTACTTCTGCCATTTTAAGTCAACTTGAGTTTTCCATTCCAACCTCTGAATTTCAAAACTATTTCTTTTTCCCTTTCTTCTCCTAGTGCCCATCCTTTCTTTTTTTCTTTTTCCTCTACTTTTAATTGTTATTCAAACGGTTTCATTTCCTTTTTCTTTGTTCTGTCAGGGCTATTTTTTCTTTTTTTTTTGTCTTTTTCTGTTGCCATTGCCTCTAATTCAAGCTGTTTCATTTGTAATTGAATTTTAGCAATCTCCAATGATTCTGATTGCATTCTTGACAATTTTAAATGTAGAGTTATTGCTGCAATTATTTTTCCTTTCTTCAAAGAAACAGGCAACTCTAACTTCAACTTGTTTGCCAGTTCTGAAATCTTTGCCTTGCTTGTTTCTATAAAACTTGAAATGACTACTTCCACCCCTCAGAAACTCTTAGTGAATGAAAGAGCCATTATTACACAAGGCACACACTGTTTAAACCAACCAAATGCAACATCCAAAATAAAAAATTACCAGTGCTCACCACTCGCTGCTCTTGAGTCCAATAATCCTAAACTCAACCTGGAATATGAGAACTTGATTCTGTCAAGAGTCCCCAGTTTGTTATGGACCATACCAAACGCTATCAGAATCATTAAGAAGATAGTCTAGCCCACAATGCTTTCTTATTTTAAAGGTAAGTGTAGGGTGTTGCATTCCAGATGCAATTCGATCGGTCAAACTACTCGACGTTAAGCAAAACACACTTTATTTTTATACTAGTTAAAATACAGACAAAATAAAAATAAAAGAAAGGAATTGGTTTAACTGTAACTGTAGCAAAATGCATAACAAAATAATGTGTTAACTACTGCTCATTTACTGTTCCAAAATAATAATATTCCAGAAACACCAGACTTTGCAACGCAAATTTAGTAAAATAGATTGTCTCTCAGGCAATTCTAGCATCAGGAAAAGAACTACAGCTTTTAGCTGCCATAGAGAGAGGAATAAGAGCTTCCACATCCAGCTTCAAGATCCCAGCAACTGCAGAAAGATAAAACTAAAAATTCTGGTTCTGTGGGAGCTTGACTCTACCTATTCAGGCTGCTTCTATTGTTCCAATTTTAAAAAAAAAGACCAAGGCCTCCCAAGCTGTTTACTTCATTGGCTTTGAGCAAACTGCTCGATGCCTCTATCTCAACCTTTTTTCGTTCAAAAAAAGGACAAAATTATGCCTCTTACAGCCAGTGTATCGTCACATCAGGGTTTTATAACTGCAGCGTTGTCCATACAACCTTATACTCCAGTCCTCAAGATATAAAGGCCAGCATTCCATGTGCTTTCTTGATTATGTTCTATAGCTGTCTGTGGTATTTTAGATATCCGTGGACCTGCACACCCAAATCACTTTGGACTTCCACTGTATTTAAATTCATATAATCTAGAAACCAAAATTTGTGCTTCAGGTGTATTAATATCAGGCTCAATGACAATTTTGAATTTTGGAGGAAAGGGTAAGTGTTACAATATAGGGTCAACAGAATTTCCAATTTTATGCAAATCAAGACCATGAAACCAGCAAATAAAATGAATGACAGAGTTGGTTGAGGGACAAGAACAAGTAGGGGCATTTTGAGACCACTTTACACTTTTAATGAAAGATTGAACTACATAATTAGCATGACTGGCATGTAGGATTTTTTCATTCATTCATGGGATATGCTGCATGGGCCAACATTTATTACCCATCACCATTGCTTTGAAAAGATGGAGGTGAACTGTAGTCCATTTGTGTAGGTATAACTACAGTGCTATCATGGAGAGTTCCAGGATCTAGGCCCAGCAACACTGAAGGAATAATAATATCTTCCTAAGTCACAATGGTGAATGACTTGAAGGTGGTGGTGTTCCATGTGTATGCTCCCCTTGTTCTTCTAGATTGTAGTAGTCCTGTATTTGGAAGGTGCTTTTGAAGGAACCTTGGTGAATTTTGTGCATCTTGTAAATGGTACACACAACTACAACTGTATGTCAATGGTGAAGGGAACAGATGTTTGTGGATGTGATGCAATTCAATTGGGCTGCTCTGATCTGGATAGTATCCAGTTTCTCAAGTATTGTTGCAACTGCCCTCACGTAGGCAAGTCAGGAATACTTCACCACACTCCTGACTTATGCCTTGTATCTGGTGGAGAGGCTTTGGCGAATCAGAAGATCAGTTACCTACTGCATGATTCCTAGTCTCTGACCTGCTCTTGTTAGCCACAGTATTTATATAGGTGGGCCACTTCAGTTTCTAATCAGTGGTAACCCCAGGATTTAACGAAAGGAATGGATTTGAAAACTTGCGTGCTGACCCTGATACGTGACCACTTACGATTGGGAAAAATACTCCGATTGGTTAAAAACCCAGTATCAAGGCTACCAGATTCAGGAGTTACAACCTGTTGTATAAATAACTGTCCAGAGTTAAGATTTTCATGGATTTGTTAGCATCGCATTTCTCAAGTCATTGTCACAAACGAAAGTAACCTTCTGCAAATTTAATGAATTTAACCAGCAGAAAAACACTCAGCTGTTTTTTTTTTTGAAATTGCAAACCCTTCAGATGAGCATAAATGCTCAAACCTAGTTTATCTTGCTAGTAATCTCATGCAGTTTCATGCTGCGCCTTTACCAGTACTCTTAATTGTTCTGAAATCTTAAGTTCTGCTTATAGACTTGCACCTGTATTGGAGGTCTTGTATTCTGCTTCTTTGCTAAAGATAAAATACAGAATCCCTACAGTGTGAAAGCAGGCCATTCGAGTCCACACGGACCCTCTGAAGAGCATCCCACCCCCGCCCTGTCCCTGTAACTCCCCATTTCCCATGGTTAATCCACCTAACCTGCACGTTTGGACTGTGGGAGGACATACACAGACAGTTGCCTGAGTGTAGAATCGAATCCAGGTCTCTGGCGCTGTGAGGTAGCAGTGCTAACCACTATGTCGTCCCAGAGTAAAAAAAAATGAAGTTATAAAGTAATGTGAAAAAGGTTTAAGACATGTTACCTATCTGCAGGTTTCTTCTGCCATATCCCACTTTGAGATATTTAACCTCTGCTTATTCTATAGACCTATTAACATGAAATTATGCTATTACTGTACTTAGTAGTTTGAATCCATTCGATTCTATAATGTGACATTTTTAGACAAATATTGAGACAATCTGAATGTGGTGGTGAACTCCTTTAGGTACAGTGCCGAAGATTAGTGCATTGGTACCCTTATGTTGGAGTTCTTACCTGAATATATTATTTTTTATATTTCGATATCATATGCACAGATGAATAAAGTATACACAAACTAACATTATAGTTTTTCCATTTCATTTTAATGTTTCAGTTTTAAATCTGTTTTTATTGAAAGGCTGCTTTAGCACATCTTGAGTCTCTGGCCATTGATGGTGAGCAAGCTCCCCCTCCAGCTCCCAAGGAAACAATTGAATGTTTACCACAAGTTGCAGTTTCTGAGGGGCATAATGGTAAGTCACTTAGTATGTTTATAAATATTTGGGTATTATTTGATGCATTGATGTTTCTGAAAAGTATTCTGGTCACTTAAATTATTTGAGTAGGCCTTACATCAAGTTGGAAGAACAAATAAAATCATACAATAGAAATTTATTTGAAGTTAATATCACAAGTCTAACAGAATTGTAATTTCATATGCTAGTGTTCAATTTTTCCTCCTTCAAAGAATAAATTGAGCAAAGAAACTGATTTTATCCCTCTTGTGAGATAGAATTAGCTGATTTCAGCACTGAAGTCTGGAATATACCTTACACGTGCAATATAACAGAGACATATAAATGACCTGATACTTGTCTAATGACAAAATATTAGTTACTACCTAAATGACATCACGCATTCACACTTGCCTCGTGTTCAGAAGGGCAATTACCCAATATTAGTTTTTTTTTTAAAAGATGATTTTGTATTGTGGGCATTGCTACTGAGCCACCTTTTAATGGCTGTCCCCAGTTGTCCTAAGAAGGTGGAAGGGAGCTGTCTTAAATCATTGTGGAGGTGTGCTCCTAAAAATATTTGGGAAGGGGATTCTAAGATTACTGACTAAGCATCAATGAGGGAATTAATATACTGGCAGTCCCCAGGTTACGAATAGGTCCTGTTCTTGAGTATGTTAATAAGTCGATTTATATACAAGTCAGAACACAATACAGTACAATATAAAATAGCCATTCATAAGCACAAGTAACTGTTCACATGTCAGACTTTAAAAATGATGTGAATACACCCCAATGTGAGATCTCGCTCGTAACTATAAGCAATTGTAAATCAGACGCTGATCAGTCCGGGACCATTTGTACAGCTGAGTCCAGGTGTTCTGGAGTTTATTGGGGAACTTGGAAAGTAATGGTGATTCCGCAACATTATTTTTGTTTATTGTTGTGACAGAGGCTGGAGAGGATGAAGATGCTATTAAGCAACATCAGACAAATATAACCTGATATGTTTAATGTTTAACAGAACAGTTTATCTCCATAATAAGAAAGTTATAAGCAGTATTTTAATTGAATGCTTAATTTCTATTTACACTGATTATTAATCAAATCAATTGGTCACTTTTCCCTTTTCTCAGTCTGAGTTCTGGCTGTAGTCCTGTTTAGAACTAATTCGCATAAACGAATGGGATCTTCCTGTCAAATAGCTGTATTGTAACTGTGTGTTGTGAAAAAGACAACAGAAATAATTTGTGGAGATTAAGCAATATTATTGTGTCTAAATGGAAAGATATTATTATGGAAAAGTATTAAGATGTTCTTAAATACAGGATATTTCTTTTCATTTCAAAACGGAATTGTTCAATCTTGTCTTCGAGAGGGTACAGAGAAGATTCATCAGTATGTTGCCTGGGATGAGAAGTCTTAGTAATGAGGAGAGACTGGGTAGGCTGTGTTTGTTTTCCATGGAGTGTCTGATGGAGGTTTACAAATGTATGAGACGCATAGATGAGAATAGATTGTGGGAATCTCTTGCGCATGGCAGACATAATACCTAAGACTACAGGGCGTAAATTTAAGGTGAGGAGCAAGTGGTTTAGAGGAGATCTGAGGAAAAAATGTCTTTGCCCAGAGGGCGGTAGAAATTTGGAGCATGCTGCCTGAGGATGGTAGAGGCAGGAACTTTTGCAACATTTAAGACGCATTGGGATGAGTACTTAAAAAACCAGGGCAGAGTAGGCTATGGACAACGTGCAGGTAAATGGGATAAATGTGGTTTGTGATTGTTGGTAGGCATAGACTTTGTGGGCTGAAAGGCCTGTTTCTGTGTTGTTATGGCTTTGTGACTCTAAATGGACATTCTTGTATTGATCCCATAGGCCTGGAGCAATCCTGTGCCATCTGTTGCAGTGAATATGTAAAGGAAGAGTTGGTGACGGAGTTACCATGTCATCATCTATTTCATAGGCCATGTGTAACCCTCTGGCTACAGAAGGTATGTACTTCTGATCTGAATTTGAATCAGTTCATTTAAAAAAGCATATCTGAGAGTAAAATATTAGTTTGCTTTTATATTCTGATTGCATTTGGCTTACCTGCTTTAATTTACTATTCATTTAGTATTTTTTGTAATCAGAACTAATGTTTGAATTACACAACAGGAATTTATGTAAATATATTTATAGTAATATTTTTATTAAATGTAGAGAAAACTGAAGCCATTGTTATCAGTCTTTGCCACAAACTTCATTTCCTAGCTGTTGACTCTAACACTGGCACTGCTGGAACTGAAACAGACTCTGATATAAGCTTTGGCCGTGTGATCATGCAGGAATGAAATTTGCCATTTTTACCTATCTGACTTACGAATGGCTCCAAAGTGACAGCAATGTGGTTTGATGCCCTCTGAAATTGCTTAGCACACCACTGAGTTCAAAGGCAGTTAAGGTTGGGAAACAGATGCTGGCCATACCAATGAAAAAATAATGCAGAGGTACATCAGGTTTTTATTTGCTCTTTCCCTCTGCTGCTGATATCCATTTTCTCAGATATCTCTGGAATGTTCATAATGTCCTCCGTTGCAAAGAGCAAAATATTTGTTTAAATTATCTGCTTTTGCCATGTTCTTTGTTATCAATTTTCCAGTCGCATCAAAAGGTCCCAAACTCATTCTAGCTGCTTTTCCTTCTTATGTACCCATAGAAGCTCTTATTTTTTGATTATTTTAATATTTCTTACTAATTTACTTTTAAGATCAATTTTCTTCCTCTTCCTTAGCTTTTAAGTCATCCGTGGCTGGTTCCTAATAAAAAGAAATTCCCAACCTTCTGGGAAACTCAGGCTTGCAGCATCTGTGGAGAGAGAAAGAGTGTTAATGCTTTGAGTCTGCTTTCTCTTCACAGATGCTGCCAGACCTGCTGAGTTTTGCCAGCAATTTCAGTTTTGGTTTGAGCTTCTCTCTATGTTGAAAGCTTTCTTAAGAGTACATTTCTTCTCTCAGCATATATGCTGAATAGCAGGATTTTTTATTGCCAGAAATAATCACCTCTAATGAGATCATGTCTCAGATGTTCAGAATATAATTCAACTAGATGTATCAGTGCAATCGCGTTGTTCAGTCCACTTCTCCCCTTCAGCTGTGATGGTGAACAAATAACATTTATAAGTAACATCACTATGGGTTCAAAGTATGTTTTCAAAGCCTACAAAAAAACCCTGTCTGGTTTTTCTGCTTCCCAGTGAGATCTAGGCTGCAATACAGCTTGTAGCATACTTCCTCCAGTACTGATAGCAGGGTGCAGCTGTTAGGTTTTAAATTCATTATGTGGCTGTTTCATTATTTTACACTTGAAATGGAAGATTGTTCAGTTCTGCTTCATATCTACTCTAAAACCTTAGAGATATCTCTTCTCATTTCTACATCAACATGAAGTGGAAAATGCAGCTATTTTAACTCAATCAAAGTTGTACTTGATGTTTTAAATGATGTATATTTAATGGCTGCCACAGACTGCCCACAAGGCACTTTCAGTAGCATTAGAGGTCACAAGACACAGGAAGTCAGCCAGTACACTAAGCACGACTTCACTACTCCAAACAATTTCAATCCATTTAGATGCAACCTTCTTCGAAAGCTACTATGCAGATGCAGCAAGCAATGAAGAGGGCAAGTGGTGTGTTGGCCTTCATTATAACTGTATTTGAGTACAGGAGTAAAGGTGTCTTGCTGCATTTGCATAGAGCCTTGGTGATACCACATCAGGAGTATTGCGTACAGCTTTCCACTCCTTTTTTTATAGAAAAGAAACCTTATATTTCTCTAAATTCCAATGATCCATAGGAATGTGGCATTATTTTATGAGGAGAGATTGAGGAGATTGGGTCTGTATTCCCTAGAGTTTCAAAGAATGTGGGGTGATCTAGTTCATTAATACACAGTGCCCTGTTCTTCGCAGATGGACAGAACACATAAATGTACTGCAACAAAATAAGTGATGGCCATTTACTGGTTCAATTGGAGTCGTCCAATTTAAAATGTAAACAAATCCTGGCTGTTAACAACCATCTATCATCAATAGATCCATTGTCAATAGCAACATCTCTACCAGAGTCCACTTCCTAACCAATCAGCAGTCTGCTCTCATTTAGTATAAATGAGAGGTTTCCACATGAATTTGTATTCTTGCAAATTGTCCTGATGAGTGCAAGACAAAAAGCTTTGATAAAATAAAAACCAAAAGAGCTGTGGATGCCGGAAATCAGAAACAAAAACAGCAATTGTTGGAAAATCTCAGCGGGTCTGGCAACGTCTGTGGAGAGAAATGGTTTGGGTCCAGTGACCCCTTCAGGGGACCCAAACCATTAACTCTGACTTTACTCCACAGATGCTGTCAGACCTGCTAGCTTTTCCAGCAATTTCTGTTTTTGTAACTTTGATAAAATGCCTTCTTTAGCGATACTTCAGTTTTATACTACCCAATGACTATAAGTAGCGATATGACAATGATTAGATAATATATTTTTGTAATGTTAATTGATGGATGAAACTTAGCCAGGATGCTGTGGGTTGCTGCCCTTGCCCTCAAAGTCACGTCATGATGACTTTCCCATGGACCTGAGCAGACAGTTGGAGCTTTGATTTTAAAGTCTCATCTGAAAGACTGCATCTCTGATGTACAGTACAGAAATTTAAAGTTCAGTCTTAAATTTTATGCTACATTCCTTGAGTGGGGATTTGAACCTGAGCTTATAATTCAGAAGTGTGTGTGTTACCAAATGAGGCATTCTTCAGTGAAATGCATCGGAAATCCAATGGTAATTCTTGAAATGCTTTTGATAAAGAAATGATCATGATCTTTTAAAAAAAATTGAGGACCAATTTTACAAGTGTCTGTCACAAATGGGCAAGTCCGCTTGCTGGTGATGATCTGCATTCACGAGGTTGTCCGTTGAATTTACAAATGACTACAAGCCAGTTCAAGACTTTCAATTAACTTAAGAATGCTAGCATTACAAGAATTATGGAAGTTCAAGGTTTATGGAGAAGTCATACAACCAATTTTTTTGATCAACTTCCTGATTAAAAATTGAGTGAGAAGATTGGATGAGTAGATCAATTGCATTGGCTTTGCTAACTAACTTGTTCTCTTTCAGTCTGGGACATGTCCAGTATGTCGTCACATTCTTTCATCAACACTTCCTGAAACTGCTACTACTGCATTTTTATCAGAACCAGAGATCCCTCCTTCTACCCGTGATGGTCCTGCAATACGATGAAGCCGACGTTTGCCTAATGAATGTCAAAGGGAACTGCACTATTTGATGGGAGCAGAAAGTATGAAAAATATGTTTGTGATTTTACCTCTAGGCTTATTTTGTTAAAAGGCTGACAAAACTGTCTTAACTACTGGTGAGGTGTTTAATTCTGCATTATAATTATATGTAAAAAAAAACTTCATTAATGGTTGTATTTTTGTGACAGAAAATTAGACCTTTTTTGTTGCTGTTAATATTAGGGGGCTGAATTTATGACGTGTTTGATTTTGTTTTCTCTGTTTAAATGAAATTCGAAGTGGGCTTTTTGGTTAAAATATATCATGTATTTTGATGCTGATATCTGTATTTGCGCAGAAAGCTTAGGGCACAGATATATTAAGTTAATGTTGGAAGTAATTCTAAGGTTCTTTTTGTTTTGTCTAATGCAGTAACACACTGACTTTACATAGGGTGATGGAGCGTGAGGAAGTTGTCTTAATTCCATGGAATAAAAAAGGTTTAGTTTCTTTCAATGTGACCAGAACAGTGACCATAAATGAAGACATCATCTGATTTCACAACAGTATTGAGATTTGTTTCACCTCCAATAAACTGCATTATTAAAATTGCATGCTCTGTCATACTGTTTAAGTGAAATTAAATTTTATTCTGGATTCAAAAACCTGAGGAAGTATTCTCAACATTTAAAACTGGAAGAGCTTTTTGAAAAGATTTTGCATTAGGTAATTTTATACATGAATTTTTTTTAAGAACCTTTTGAATTTTCTTTCTTGTTCTGTATACTCAAGAATACATTATGACATGCATCGCTGAATGTGATGTATTGAATAATAGTGAAGATATCAGTCAAAGTTACAGAGTGTCGCCTAAGTGCAAATTTTGGGGAACTTCATGGAGGTTTTCTCTGTGAAATCTAGAGCATTATTTCACAAAATTCTTTGCTGCTCTCATTATGTATGCAACATGTCTTTATGGCACCGCTCTATCATGTGCTCATTAGTGGTGGAACAACTGGCTGGGACCTTGCGTGATTTCTGCCACCAGCAAAATATTTAAAACCTAGTCAGGCACCAGGTCTAATGCTGCAAGCCTGGAATTGCCATTTATTGTACTGCTGCGTAACTCTAAAGGACATGGCTGAGAAGTTGACACCACATTTTGCCAACAGGGACCTGGAGGTCAGAAGGAATGGCCTCTTTCCTCAGTTCAGATACTGACATCTCGGTGAGTACCTAGGGTTGGGAGCACATTCTGGTGAGTAAGTCACTGCCACGGCTCTTCAGCTGTCTAAGGAAAATGCACCCCAGGTCTCTGGCGCTCAGGACTGTAGGAAACTAAGTACGTGCTCAGCCTCAGATTGTTGAGGATTCAATGATCTTGACCATTAATACATTATTAAAATGCACAGATACCAGAGCAGACAGGTTCTTGGGGACACTCAGAAAACAAATTGAATAGTCGAAGAAACCACTAATGCCACCTGTAATGATGCTGGCTCCAGAACTTTTAAAATTCTAGCAGATATGCATCTGATTGTCTCCATGGACAGGTTGGCAGCTGCCATGGAGAGCCAAGCCCAGAACAATCTGTCTGCCATTAAGTATTCAGACCTGTGCCTACATTGAACCAGTGGCAAGGCAATAAAAGGGACAAGGGACCTTGACCTTGTTCCATATTTCTCTTCCTGACAAGGTGACAGGGTAATGTCAGTAGGTACACAGCCTGAGGAGGAACCAAATAAAGGACCTCCAGTCTCTTAGAACAGTCAGTGGTGCCCAGCTCTCTACTTACATTCAACCAGCAACTCTCAACCCAGTGGAAATTTAAGCTGAGGAGGATGAGACTGCAACTGAGCTGGACACTCGGCATGTTTGATCCCTCTAGGCACAAATGTCCCCAGGGTGGTTCACCAAATCTTTAAGGCCCATAGGCTCCAGTATAAGGCAGGCTCTGTGCACCACAGCCATGGAAATTGGGACTGCACCTGGATGTATTGAGAGGGAAAGGAAGAAAAAAAGAAAACCTTACAAGAACACATACTATGTACAATGAAGTGTCACCTATCATAAATTAGTAAATGTTACCTTTTCATCAGCTGTGAGATCAACTATCATTTTAGCTGCAGCTAGAATGAAAGGAGAATCTAGCCATCCTTAGTGACTCAGTAATGTGATCAGTCAGCAGTTGAAATGATATTTGAGCATAGTCATCGAAATGTTCTGACATGGAGGACTTTGACAAGGACCACAATGGGATGCCTCTTCATGGATGTATTGTAAACTTGAGCCAGATGTATACTATGCAAGCCTTTTGGCACAAGTACAATAGGAAATTATGAGGTATGGTAGAAAGAAGGAGGATATCTCCCATCACCAAACACTTCCACCCCCACCCCCGCCAAATATTATCATGAAAATGATAGCATTGCATGTGGAATAATGGAATGTTGTAGTCCCAAGATATGAGGTGAGCAGTTTCTAGAGTGCATGCAGGCAATGAAACCTTGAATGTGTTTGGGAATTATAGAACTTGGATGAAATTTGACGGCTTGCCTGATGTTACTTCTGTACCATAGCCATTTACTACGATTTAACGTCCACAGCTGTGAATGAATTTAAAAAATTGTAATGTTCAGTAACCAGGATTGGTGTTGGACATAATTAGTCAATGCATGCAGTTCATGTCCAGAATCTTGTGATAATAAATGTTTTTTTGTGTGTGAGAGAGAGAGAGACTAATGCAATTGTCATGTGAAAGATCTCATTATTCAGAAGTGGAAACAGTTCCAGCAGAGAATAAAAAGAACGTTTTCTCCACACAGTCAGCATATGATGTGGAGGTGCTGGGGATTGGGAGGATGTGGTAGCAGCCATCTTTCATTTACATTGTGGATAGAAGACATCACAGAGCTTCACAATACAGGTCACAGGCTCAGCTTGTCAATGTAGGTGACTCCCCTGTCCCCATGATCACTGCCCAGAAATAACCCAAGTTCCTTTGCAACAAAAACAAAAAGTGCTGGAGAATCTCAGCAGGACTGGCAGCATGTGTGGGCAGAGAAAGGATTTACTACTTCAGAATTGTTCTTTTGTCTTGCCCTGCCTGGCAATCCCTATCTGTTTTGATCCTCTTCATGTTTACCATAAAATCCTTTCATTTAATTGCTCATTACCCCACTTGACTGCTTCCCCCACTCCCCAAACACCAGGCATACAGCTTAGTTATACACCTCCCTTCTATTTGAGGCCAGGGTCATTTCATTCCTCTCCCCACATTATCTCCTGTCTCTGCCACTTTATTGTTTCTTCTCCCTTTTTCCGTTCAGCTGCCTTCACAACTATTACTGTCCCTTCTGCATTCCAGCATTCTACCTTTAATCTCCAAAATTGACTTCCCAATTTGCCCACCATAGCAGTGGACCTAGATATTCCCCCTCAACTTTCAGTGGACACAGTGCCGAGGTCTGAGTCTGGCCCACCCCGATCAACCTGGAAGGTCCGTCTCGACGTTTGTTTCTTTATTTACTCATAAGACATGGGCATCGCTGGCTGGGCAGCATTTATTGCCCATCCTTAGTTGCCTTCAAGAAGGTGGTGGTGGTGAACTGCATTCTTGAACCGCTGTAGTCCATGTGCTGATGACTAATAAGTAGCCAGACCTCTGAAGCTCCCTAACTTACTTACCACAAATCCTTAGACAATTTGCAAGGGATCTGAGGACTGAGCGCAGCCCACTTCTTGGACTGTAATGAAGCAGAGCCCCTGATTCTGAATGCCCAAGTGACCAACTGTCTGTGCCCAAGCCCAAGGTAATGGGTGATGCTATTGATCTACTGTGCTCCTGCCCCTTGATTGAGGACCACACTCCTTTATCTTCGAGACATAGCCAATTAGTTGCAGCACATCTAGTGCATTTTCTGCACAATCTGCTGGCACATGGTACAGCTATGAGACTGACACAGCTCAGGTGCTGTCTTGCTGCATTTCTTCCTCCTTGACTGATCTCTGCTTCACCCAAAAGGTAAGGAAAGGTGGAAGTACTGAGAGTCTTAAAGTTGTGAATGAGGTAGCAAAGTGCAAAATGTTGAGAAAAGGCAGAGATGCTATAAGAATCCAAGTACAAACACACCGATTGAGCACTTAATAAGGAAAGAACCCTGAGATATAGTCTCCTCCAATGTGCCTGTCCCTTTACACAATGTCACTTGCCAGTAGCAGATTGTATGATGTTGGGAGTTTCAAAGTACAGTATTGAACTGGTGAACTGTATCAGAAGTGAGTCAGGTGTGTCATGATGTGGTGGGGGGTTGAGGGGGGGAAGATGCAGACATTATCTCCACTACCTGGAGATAGTGGGGAATGCTGGCCAAGATGGAGGCTTAGAAGATCAAGCAGTGGGCTGGGTCACAAGAACCTGTGCTGATTTTCATGTTGGGAATGGTCACCATCTGGATTTTCTCTGCTGACAAATAGTAAATTGTTACCTATTCTCATATTTTATGCAATGGGATATTTATGTTCGCAAATTGGCCTTTACCGCTCATTAGTGACGTTCTTGTTCTTCTGTTAAAATACTGGCTGGAAAATGTCTGAAGTGGTGTGGGCACTCAAGTCCAGTTTCATATTGAAGTGAGCAACAGAAGATGGCATGAGTAAACTTGTCCTGAACATGATGGAACTGGTGCCAATGGCAATCTCCAAAATAATAGCCTGAAATGGAAAAATTCAGCCCTTCTAATAGTGATTTCTATTCTTTTTCATATTATCTTTAACTCTTCTAAACTTCCTTTTCACCTCCCAATGCATTCAATGCATTCTTCATGATTATCTTTAACATTTGTTGCTCCAATTCTATTTTGTGTCTCCTTTTCAGTTTGATTTAAATTTCTTTATCTACAGATCTTCTATCATTGATTTTTTTTTAGCTTTAAAGAAATGCAACTACTTTTCAATCATGGAATGGACAGATTAAAGACAGGACTATGGCTGGTTTTACAGTTTGATTTTTGGGTATGTACATATATCCTTGAGCCTGACACTGCTTATGAGGAGGAAGCTTTGCAGTTGTTTGATAGATTACAGAGGTGGATTACAAAATGTGAACGTAACAGGAGAGATGACAACTGCAACTTTATCACAAAATCTGTCTAATTTCTTCAGTTCCAGCTACACAACACAGTCTGGCACTAGTATATTACTCATACCTTGTCCTGAAAGCTCTATGGCTATTATCTCCACTTTAATTTTCTTTCCACATTTTGCATGTCAAAGTAATGAGAAGAGAAACAATATTAATCTGTGTCCAAAACAAAAACAAAGTTGCTGGAAAAGCTCAGCAGGTCAGTTCCCGGAACTCAGTTCCAAGGAAGGGTCACTGGACCGAAACGTTAACTCTGTTTTCTCCTCCACAGATGCTGCCAGACCTGCTGAGCTTTTCCAGCAACTTTGTTTTTGTTCCTGATTTACAGCATCCGCAGTTCTTTTGGTTTTTAATCTGTGTCCATGTGTTTCAGAAATGCTTTGTACATTCCACACAGGAATTTAAGTATCTGTGTTGATATCCAGGTTGCGGTGGAGATATTATGAAGAAATGTGCAACTCAGAAATTA